ACCTAGGGCTGGGGCAAGGGCAGGTGCTGCACAGCTGGGGTGTCGTGTGGGACGGAGCCGCAAGAACGACCTGTCTAGGGGACATGGGTAGGGTGAGCGGCTCCTGCCGGTGCACACACCTCAGCAGAGGCCCAGGGGGCATGTGCCCCCCAGATGTGTGTGTGGGGTGGAAGCAGCTGCTTCTGCAGGCTGAACTCTGCATGCAACCCCCACTCCCATCAGGCCAGGTAGCGCATTTGTAGCCCATAGAGGGGAGCTGCTGCCCTCATCCACACCCCACCCCCAGCCCTGCTCCTGGGAGTGGGCACAGAAACACAGTTACCCCCTGCCATTGAGACCCTTGTGGCTCTGCAGGAAGGGGGTGGCTGGGGCGCCTCCTCCTCATCAGCTATTGACTGAGGGTGGTGGCCCGCAGCCAATCAAAAGAGCGAGCTGAGGGGGGGGAGGCGTTGTGATGTACTGGGGCTGGCATCACTTGGCACACGCTTCATTCTCCCCCAGCTAAGAGGCAAAGTGTGGGAATGCGGCAGGGGAGATGTCACCACCACGCCTCGAGGCGCACTCCATCCTTCCCCCCCCGCACGAATCCCCTGTGACCTTTCTAATTACCTATAGGGCTACATGTACCCCCGGTTGACAACCCCTGGTGTAAAGAATTATGTGATTCTTTTTGTATCAGGGGACTGGATTCAAACTGGGGATAAGTGTTTTGTATTAGTGATCAGAAACCAGTCTATATCTGTAACAGAACAGAAGTTCAGCACACACAGGCTGGTTTAAAAATGGTGGAACCCAGTCTAAGATTTCCACCCCTCACCAAAGGGTTTTTTCAATGTCTGGACCTAGCTAGTGAGTCTAGATGGACTTACACAGAGCACACTGCAAAGGTCACTTTTTTCCTTTGCAGACGTTTACCAGCAGTAACAGAAACTGGGGAATAAATATGAAGAGGGCAGAAGGTGTAGTAGCGAGAACAAAAAAGACAAATACAAGGAAAATAATCCGAGCATAAGAAGACAAATCTTAGAAGGACAAGTATAGAGTCATTATCAAATAATTATTTTGCTTACCTTGTGTCTCGTGGCTAGATACTGTAGGGATTAGTACTTTATATCAATAGTTAGGTCTCAATCACTAGCATATGCTGTTCTTAAGTGAATATGGACTTGCTCTCTACAGGTGCCAATTTGTACTCTGTATGAAACAATATATTGGTCTGAAGAACAGACAATAAATTTATTTGCCACAAGGCAAACTTATTACAGTGAGTGGCTGTAGGTCTGTGTGTATATATCTATATTTCTATTAATATTTGTATCAAGAGAGAGCAACAAATACATTTTATTTTCTGGATACATTTTATGCAAAATATTAGTTTTAATTGCAAGCTCTAGTAAGTATATTTCAAAAAGTACAGAATGTTTTGCAGTTCTTTTCAGTATATCATTTTTTTTCCTCCTGAACAAATGAGATTTTTAATAGGCATACCTTCTTGGCTTCTAATAAATATGTGTCTTGCAAAAGGTAGTTTGAATGTAACATACCAAAAACATCTGCAATATAAACATTTTATATAATTTATTTGAAATATTTTAAATAATTTAGACCCTAACCGTATATATAGTTTCATAGTTTCTAGGGTCAGAAGGGACCTGAGCAGATCATCTAGTCTGACCCCCTGCCATGGCAGGAAAGAGTACTGGGGTCAAACGACCCCAGCAAGGTGTTCATCTAACCTCCTCTTAAAAACCCCCAGGGTAGGAGCCTGCACCACCTCTCTTGGAAGTTGGTTCCAGACCCTAGCTGCCCTGACTGTGAAATAGCGCCTCCTGATGTCTAACCTAAACCTACCCTCTGCCAGCTTGTGACTGTTATTCCTGGTCACTCCTGGCGGTGCTCGGGGGAACAGGGACTCCCCCAATGCCTGCTGATCCCCCCTGACTAGTTTATAACAGGCCACAAGATCCCCCCTCAGCCTTCTCTTGTGGAGGCTGAACAGGTTCAGGTCCCGTAGCCTCTCCTCATAGGGCCTGCCCTGCTGTCCCCTGATCATGCGAGTGGCCCTCCTCTGGACCCTCTCCATGCTGTCCACATCCCTCTTGAAGTGCGGTGCTCAGAACTGGACGCAGTACTCCAACTGCGGCCTGACCAGTTCCGCATAGAGGGGGAGGATCACCTCTTTTGACCTGCTTGAAATGCATCTGTGGATGCATGACAAGGTACGGTTGGCCTTCCTAACTGCCTCCCCACACTGCCGACCCATGTTCATCTTGGAGTCAATGATGACTCCAAGATCCTTTTCCGCCTCTGTGCTGACAAGAGGGGAGTTCCCCAACCTGTAGGTATGGTGCCGGTTGTTCTTCACATACTGTATCTCAGCAATCTGAACAGTCTCATTTAAATTAAAACTCAACAAAGAAGACGACACATTAAACTTTTCTCTGTTAGTGTTATACCAATAATGCTCTGAAATCAGGCGTGCGTGAGCTGTTATATGGAATGTCCCTATCATTATGCTGCTTTTTAAAAAAGTTACAAAATGTGTATTTCCAGTAGCTCACAGTATGACAGACTTGCATATGTTGTACAGACATTGAAAAGTAAGCAGCGTTAATCTCTGAAAAGCCAGATATCTGCTGCAGACATCTCCCACGGATGCAGAATTTTTCTAAAGGCTTGTTATAATCATTAACCTCACTATCAGTGCCTTTTTTTCAACTATGCATGTCCTAAGCTGTGCTGAGCCCCCGATCCTTTTATTAAATATAGCATGAATTAAGGTTAAGCACATTTAAGGAAACTCTTCTTTTCAAAAAAGAAGTTAGCTTCTTAGGAAATTGAATTCTTCTTTTCAAATTTTCCTTTATTTCTTTTGCAGTGTATGTTTGCTTCTCTGTGACCTGAAGAATTTGTTTGCTGTAAAACCTCCAGTACTACTACTAACAGTGATTCTCACAAAATGCTAACACTAGCCATATGCATTTTTCTGCATCTGCTTCAGGTGCAAAAAATCTACTATGCTTGTCTTTTAGGCTCCCTACTTCAACAGTTTTCAATTAAGACCTTATAATAGAACCCCCTCGTGAAAAATGTCAGGGCAGCAAACTGAGTGACCCTTCACACTGCTTTATGCCATTGTTTCTGATCTTATTACAAGAACTGTCTTGCTATTGTGAATGATAGAAAATAGGTGTAGGCATACACATAGCAAGACGCATACAAACTGGTATTTGCATATGCAGTTACCTAAAGTACACTATTAAATTGCAGCTATCTGTGTATGTAAACAGCTTTTGTGGTTACAGGTTAAATGTGAGAGTCAAAAAGTTGTCCCATTATATTAGAACAGGTATACAAATAAAGTATAATGAGTGTTAGAAACAGCAGTCTTATCTAAGCGTGGTAGTGACCTAACTCTTTCTATTGTTAATGGAATGTGTCTCTTGCCAGTATGTGTTAGTTTTCTAAAATTGAATTATATTAGTTTTGTAACAACATTTTTTAAAAAAGGTCTTATAAGTGCAGTGTATATATAATTCTAGGTTATTGTTCTATTAAGGTCTTGGTATTGACAACAGGACATCTTTACCCCAGAATAATGCTTTTTCATGGGACAATTCACTCTTCAATTTATCTATACATGCTGCAATTCGACATGGAAGATGGAAGCTACTAACTGGATATCCAGGTAATGAAATGATTTTTTGGCAAGTTTTTTACCACTTCATTTTATTTCTTATGCTATATACTTTGCATTTATCTTATTTATTCTTTTGCCCTATTTGCATGATTTACCATGTAATGTAAAAATCTAGACGCACTCTTAAAGTGAGACAAACAATCGTGATATGTTTTTTTTAATTGGGTTTGTGTTCTTCTACTGCAGGATTCTGGAAGGCAATCTAGGAACTGCTTTCTTTGAAATTAAGCAAGTCAAACTAAACGTGAAATCTGCAGTGTGAGGCTGTTCTTCTTTCTATGTCTGAGAACTAACCCTTTACCTGTTCCTGTTTCTGTAGGCTGCAGTCACTGGTTCCCACCACCATCTTTGGTCAGTGAGTCAATGATCCCTTCACCTGACCCACCAACAAAGAATCTTTGGCTTTTTGATATTGTTCAGGATGCTGAGGAGAGAAATGATTTGTCTGAAAAATATCCTGGTATTGTGAAAAAAATGCTCTCTCGGCTTCAGTACTATTATAAAAAGTCTGTGCCAGTGTTCTACCCTGATGAAGATCCCCGGTGTGACCCAGAAGCAACTGGATCCTGGGGGCCTTGGATGTAGAATACCTCACTGCAGTCTGAAAGTTATGCCTGTGGTGAAGTTGTGTGGTAGACTCAGGGTCTTAGTCTGATCATTTTTAACCTTGTTTGTTTTACTCCTGTAACTGATTTTATCCCTTAAATATTCAATTTTGCTTGCTCTTAAGAAGTATTGGAGATCTAATTTTACTCCACTTGGCACATTTTAAAATCATAAATCTGTTGTTTGTCTATTCTTTGTTGGTGACATCTCTCTAAACTGGTACCTTCTTCCATACCGCTTCAGCTAGAAAGTTCTAATGAGTCATAGCAGGACCATCCAGACCTTAAATATGAAAGGAGGAATTAATGATTGATTTTATGCCTGGCACACGACAAATCTTACTAGCGGAAGACACTCTATAGTAAAGAAATGGATAAAGAAAACAGGTGTGACTTTATGTTTTTTCACCTTTTCCGTGTAAATCTGACCCTCAGTAGCAATGCTTAGAAATCTCTAGGAGGACAGACCCCTTCTCACAATACAGCAAAATACCTACTATCCCCATTGTCATTTTTACCATATAGCAGAACGTTACTCTGATTAATTGCTGATCTCACTTTGGGGATATTCCATTATCATTCACAGCAATGATTATCTTTATCTAAAAGCAGACTCTGAGTTTATGCTGAAATCTAGACAAGCACCCCCTGTGGGCCACTTAGCAAATTGCTAGAGTGGCCAAGTACCTAAGGGACCCCTATACATGTGCATTGAGGCTGCTCTGACATGCTGTAATTATAGCACGTTGGAGCAGACTCAGTTAATCGGAACATGGTAATTACCACGCTCCAACAGACTCCAGCATCATGTGTATCAGCATCCCTGCACTGAACAATGATGGCAGGGCTACTTTAACTAAAGCTCATTTGATGAGCTTTAGTTAAAGCACCTCCACACCATTTTTCAGTGCGGGGATGCTGATACATGTGATGCTCCCGGTACTTTAATTATAGTGGCTCTCAGAGCCACTCTAGCTAAAGCACCCCCCTCTCCTCCCATCCTCCTGGAGCATGTGTATAAACGGCCTAAGTATTTTAAGCCTCTGAGGGTGCATGTACACATACTCTTGGTAGCTGCTCTAATTAAAGCACCCGCAGTGTCTCATGTATTCAGTGTCCCACATTTCAAAATGGCAGCTGGATCACTTTAACTAAAGCTCATTTGACAAGCTTTAGTTAAATCGCCCCCACTGCCATTTTGAAACGTGGGGATGCTGAATACACAAGACACTGCAGCACACTGGAGCATTCTGATTAGAATGCTCCAGCAGTCTCGATTGAGTTTGCTCTGACACGTTCTAATCAGAACATGTCAGTGCACATGTAAAGGCACCCTGACTTTTCAATCTTTGGCTATTTAGGCATATTTTTGGGGTGCCAATCCTCTGTCTGGCACCTTGTCCTGGAGATTGAAATCCACAGTCCAACTGCTCATCTTCAGCATCTGATCTCGAGTTCTCATACTCTCATCATAGCTTAAACACTCCTTTTAAAAAAATCTCACCAAAGATTTGAGCCTTCTGGTTTATAGCTTGACTCTCCAGGAAGCATGTGATAGTTGCTATGAAGCAGACCCCTAGACCCTTGACAAACAGGCTTTGCTCAACATTTTTAAACTGTTGCTTTCCTTAAAAGAAAACAGAAGAGGATACAGAACATAAGAAAACAACACACTTCATAAATGCAGTTTCCCTCTCTAACTCACTCTTCTCTCAGGGTTAGTTTGGGGTGGTCCAGGAGTTCTCTGCTATAATGTATGGTTTGTTTCTCCATTCTGGAATCTTACAGTTCAGCTTCTCTTTCCTTACATTGGTTTGGTAGTGAAAGTAAGCCTCGCTGCTATAGAAGCATGCTTGAACACTCCTTCTGCCATACTCTTCTGTGTCTTATGAAGCCTTCCCCCTAAGTCCTAATTAAACCCACCCTTGTTACCTCTCTGTCTGTCTTGTTGCTGTTTTTTTTCTATTCTTTCCATTTTTCCCCTTCCCTTCGGACTAGGGAAGGAAGTGTCTTTCCCCAGATTGTGCACCCCATTATCCCAAGATGATTCACTTTCATTAAGTGACTGGGTTCTAAAAGCAACTCATGGGTACTTGCTGACAGCAAGGCTTGTTGGCAAAAGGAACACTCTGACTGAGGTATTCACAATGCATTGTCCAGCCATTTTCAGAATGGCAACTGCATAATTACTTAATAATTCCAGCCAGAGTTCAGAAGGTGGAAAGACTATTGCTTAAAACATGACCCTTCATTTTACATTACCCTTTTAAATTCTTTTCTTCCTTGTACTTCATGGCACAACACTGCAGTCTTGAGCTTCTGGTGCAAGAAGATACACTATCCTGCTCTGTACTTTTATCAACTATAGCATGAGGCAGAAGATGGACACTCTTAGTTACTGTGTCAGCTTTGACAAAAGTTCCTGATCTCTGTTAATATCTCTGGAAAATCTTATGTATCATATCCCTTTTTTAAAACCGTGTTACCAATTACCTCATTCAAACCAATGTAATGATTTATACTTGTCAACAACTTTTAACACGCCAATGAAAATGAAAGCTTGAATGTTCTTGTTTTGATTTTTTGTCACTATGAATACAATTTCTTTAGAAATTTGTGACAATAGGATAAGAGATGAGTGTGGCTCCTATATTATATTTTTAAATGTATTTCTATCTGTTGTTATGCATTAATTTATATGAGCAGAGGGTAAGAATAAAATACTTGTTATGAAAGGAAGAGTCTGACTGGTCATCAAATGTTTCACCTATTTGGCTCACCTTTCAACATTTTATTCAAGACACAGTTAATTTATCCTTCTGTATCAGATTACCTCTGAAAGGATTAGCATAAAGTAGAGTAAGAAGCATATAATATATTTCATTTTTATCACATCTAAGGTGTTGGGTTTTTTAAGTAAATAGTTATATTGGACCCTGTAAGATTAGAAAACCCACAGCTTTCGTTTTGTAACTATATCTGACATTTTATGTCTGACATTTTAGTTTATTACACGATTGTGTACAATAGCAGGCGACTGGACTCATCCAAGAGGTTCCTTTCAGTCCTGTATTCCCATGTATCATACTGACAGTTTTTCAGCTGGCTCCAGGGTTGTCATTTGCTCTCATGTTAGATCTTGCATCAGTGAAAACAAATGTGAATACTGTGAGTGGTATATTTAAAGTAGGTACTATTTTTATCAATTTGGCATCCATTTTCATGGAAAAGAACAGAAATATCAGCTAACCTGCAAAAGGTCATTCAGCTCTCTTATCAATGTCAGAAAACCAGCCCTAATTGACAAAGGATTAAAGAACTTCTTGCCTCAGTTTTAAAAGTCAGTGTTGCATGCTTATCTCCTTCCCTCCTCATTCTGACTGTACATCTTTATATGAGAGTAATATGACCTCACTTAGCAGAAAGAAGTAACTGTCAGTCACTGTGTAGCCTGAAGCTTCACTCATTATCCTTACTCTTTCCTGTCTTAGAATTCTACTGTATTTTAAAATGCCAACATTCATCATTTATACAGCTGCTGTTTCAGTTAAAGTACCCTACCTAATTATTTTTTTAGGATGAGTCCTTATAAAACCTTTTAATAGATACAAATTAGGGAGGCAGGAAATAAACATCTGCAGCTCTTAAGTTGGCATCAGGAAATGTACACAATTTTAAACCTCCATGGAGTGTTTCACTTCTGTAGGAACAGAATTCCTTTGTGTTTTTTATGGTTTCTTGAGTAATAGTTTAAAACACAAGTGTCTTAAGCCCTCAAAATTAAACTGTCAGTTCACTGCCTGCCAATTCTTAAGGTCCTTTCTTCATTCCACAAAACTATGAATGTGTCAAAGGGCTTTATTTCTACACATGAAAAATAATTAAAACATTTTTGAAAAGCAGTTGACTTTGGGAAGCCTGATCATACAGTTTACATACTTGTGTTGTTGTTGTATGTGAAAAAGAATAAGCTAATGAGAGGAACACAGGACAAATTCCCCTTGAACCCACAGCCCCATACTCCTGTGGAAACAATCTGCTCAGAGGGGAAGAAATGTTGAGTTTCAGTTTATGGGCTTCCTGGGCATTTATAAATGTGCTTGGGGGGGAAGGGGGCTGCGCTTTAATTAGAGTGGCTCCAAGAGCTGCTCTAATTAAAGTGCCTGGAACGTCACATGTATCAGCATCCCCACACTGAAAAATGAATGAGCTTTAGTTAAAGCGCCCCTACCACTATTTTTCAGTGTAGGGACATAGATGCACATGTTGCTGGAATCTGCTGGAGCATAGTAATTACTGTGCTCCAGCAAATTCAGTTAATCGATATTTCTGTAATTACAGTGCATTGGAGCAGCTTTGCTGCACATATATAGGTGCCCCCTGTGTATTCTTAAACAGTTAGCACAAATTTGCCAATCACAGGCCTGGTTCTCATGGAAGACTTCAGTCACCCTGACATCTGCTGGGAGAGCACAACAGCAGTGAACAGGCAATCCAGGAAGTTTTTGGAGAGTTTTGGGGGCAACTTCCTGGTGCAAGTGATGGAGCAGCCAACTAGGGGCCATGCTCTTCTTGACTTGCTGCTCGCAAACAGGGAAGAATTGATGGGGAATGTAGTAGCGGATGGCAACTTGGGCAGCTGCAACCACAAGATGACTGGATTCAGAATCCTGAGAAAAGGAAGGAAGGAGAGCTGAGAAAGGGTCTGCTGAGTAAGGATCTTGGACTTCAAAAAAGCAGACTTTGACTCACTCAGGGAACTCATGGGCAGGATTTCCTGGGAGGCCAGTCCGAGAAGGAGAGGAGTCCAGGACTGCAGGCTGTACTTTAAAGAAACCCAAGTCTGCTGAAGGAGATGGCCAATGTGATTGCAGAGCTACTGGCCACAATCTTTAAAAACTCGTGGTGATTTGGGATAGGTCCTGGATGATTAGAAAAGGGCAAATATAGTGCCCATCTTTAAGAAAGGGAAAAAGGAGGATCCAGGGAACTATGGACCAGTCAGCTTCACCTCAGTCCCTGGAAAAATCATGGTGTAGGTCCTCAAGGAATCCCTTTCTAAGCATTTGGAGCAGAAGGTGATTAGGAACAGTTGGCATGGATTCACCAAGGGCAAGTCATGCCTGACTAACCTGATTTCCTTCTGTGATGAGATGACTGGGTCTGTGGATGCAGGGAGACCAGTGGATGTGGTATACCTTGATTTTAGCAAGGCTTTTGATGTGGTTTCCCACTGCCTTCTCGAAGGCAAGCTACGAAGTACAAGCTGAATGAATGGACTGTAAGGTGGATAGAAAACAGGTTGGAGCATTGGGCTCAGAGGGTAATAA